CTTGGTGTAACTGCCCTGAGCGGGCTCCAGGCCTGCTTGAACGGCACACTGCTTCTAGACACGAATCACTGGCATTCAGAGACGGCCAGCCTTTCTGAGGCCTGAGGGACATCCGTGGGGAGGCTGGGCTGGGGCAGGGGGAGGCTCTGGTTCCGTGCTCCTTGAGCCTGGCCTTGCGACTGCACTGGGCCAGGCGCTGGCATAGGGCAGTGACTGAGAAAGTGGCGGTACAGGGGAGGGGGGTATGTGTGCGGGGGCGGGGGGGAAGGGGAGGGTAGGGCCTCATGAGAAACAGTACAGAAAAACAGCTTGTGTGTGTTGTGCTAGAGAATCTTTTATGACTGCCTGATACTGTTTCTCTAGGCCTAAAGCAAGGCTGCAAGCAGCCCAAAGGATCAGCCATTGCTTTAAGAGTTAAAAGACCCCTTTTACGGAGGAGGGATACTTTGTTTTTATAGCAGCTAAAAACTATTTCAAAACAGTCCTAATTGCTATGGTTGGAGGAAAAGAGAATGCGTAAAAAGGAAAATGTAATATTGCATTTTGCTTCAAATATCCAAGTTCCTGTAAGCGTTTTAGAACATTTTCATAAAGAAGGATACACTACCTACGCTATAATTACGTGCCCACCAAATATGAAGGAATGTGGTTTTTCCAGGATCAGGAGAGGTTTCTAGTGTGCAGGAATACCCCGGAGCCAGGCGTACCTCTCCTGTCCTCCGGGCTTATAAAATATGATTTACGGGATTTTCCTGACATTATGATAGGGAAGTCTTCTTAAAAAATCCTTAACATCTTAATAGAGTCATAACACAGACATGCTTCTTTTTGTTGTTATTGTTTTGTCCTCCGAGTTACGCTTCCCTCCAAGGAGACAGCTTGGCAAATTCTCCACAGAGCGAGTGTGGAGACACGAACCCCCAAGCAATACACTTTGTTTACTTTGAGAATGTTACCGAGTTTGCAACAAAAGACTATCCATCAGTCTCATTAGGAAAGTTTACTCTTTGTCTTTTTTTTTTTTTTTTTTGCTTCTCTTCCCATGGAAAAGAGAAGGATCTTTTAAAACTCAAAATAGAGCAAATCTGGCCATTCTCAACATATGTCAGGAAAGGCTTTTCCCACTGTGCATACCCAAGGGCTAGAATATATAGCCGCTCCGGGAAACTTTGACACATCCTTTTCCATGCAGGGCCCAGGCTTCAGAAAATTAAAAGCTTACAAATAAAATAAATTCAAAAACGGAAAGCCTATTTTATCTGATGCTGGCTGGTCCTTTGCTTCCTCCACACTGGTCCTCTCCCCATTGCCTTCCTCAGAGACACACGGACGCAAGCACCTCCTCTGAACCCAAGGAGAGATCCACAGATCTGACTCCTTTCCATTTCTTCCTGTTCCTCTCACACACCACGTTGCCTGGAATGCCCGCTGTAGAGCGCTGCTCGACGGCACAGCACGATTCATGCAGTGAGTGTGTGCAGTTGTGCGTCTGTCCCTCAAGACTCCGGCACCTCAGTGGCAGGGATGGGGCTCTCTTGATTTACTGCTCCGTGTTTTTAGTAGCATGCTTAATAAATAACTTGCTGATCAAGTACCTTGACTCGAAACGCAGGAATTCCCTGTCCAAAAATACCGTGCCCCGTGAGTCCTGGGTGTAATTACGAAAGGAAAGGTTTTCTTCGGTGTGAAGACTTTGATGGCAAGCGGGGAGAGGTGCTGTTGGAGGTGTCCGAAGAATAGGAGGGCTTCCCTATGCACGTCCCAGTGTGGGATGAGCTGACAGCTACGTCTAAAAACTCAGGACTGTCCTGAGATGAGCATATCCTCCAACGACCCACTTGGGAAGACAAGTTCCACAACGGGGCCCAGGGAGTATGTCTATGAACTGATGTAAGAACAGTCCAAGAAGGTTTTGGTAGTTTCTCTGATGCAAAGAAAGAGGGACTGGTTGGATGACTGGATACAACAAATGACACTTACCACCCAAATGGCATTTAGTGAAAAGCAACGTTTACAGCAAAGCATTCTATCACTTAGTGACTAAGAATTTTAAAATAAACACAAAGTTCCTTTTAAACAGAAATGGAAAAAAGAAAAAAAACTTCATCAACTTACTGGCAAGGCTGTAACATGAAAGTCCCCATCTATGGTTAGATTTGAATCCTGGTGACTGCTTATTTCAAATCAACGATTCTAGAAGGACACACTGTGCATTCTACTGTTTATGATGGAATAAATTAATAACAGGCAAAACAGGAATCGTTTGCACCTTAGAAATGAACATCAGATGGCTCGGTATCCCTAAAGTTGAATCAAGGGTCTGCTCAATGCGTATGCCTTTTTTCCTCCCCTTTTTGGGGCAAGGAAAGTAAAAATTTATGCAAAACACCACACTTCTACCTTTTATAATTAATTTCCCAATGCCTCACCTATACATATTTTAATAATTCCTGATTTATAAGATGGTATCTATAATAAAATTTTCTATTTTCCAATAAATGAAAAGAAGGCAGGTTCACTCTGGCAATAGTGTCACACAATATCTGCTTGTCAGGCACCAATTTTTACTGCTTACATGTAAGTTAAAGGATAAGGAATTTATAATGCTGCCTGTGAAGGGAACCACTTTTCATACACAAATGTGATCTTTTTTTTTTTTTTCAAAGGGTAATACAACAGTACATTTACATAAACTAATCCAAACAATCTATGTATTTGACAATGGCAAACCTCACACAGATGGCCTATTGTTGGTTTACATCTTGGAGTTCTTTATATTGGCTTGTAGCGCTGCTCTAGCTGTCAAAGGTTTGACTTGGACACTAAATAAATGGTTATAGAAGTGCTGTGCAGCGATATTGGACTTCTTTGCAAAAGAAAACCTGCTGTGTATGAATTCAAAAGCTATTAATTTTTCAGTCAAAAATATTCGTGCCTATTTCTTTTAATAAAGAAATACTGTGCTGAGCTACTAAGAGATAATGTTGACTAGTGGTAGAGAATTTTCAATAGAACAGTTAAAAATAAATTTAGTAGGAGGTCCCCTTCAAAGTTATAATTTCCTAGAATGTAAAACATTTTTTTTTTCTAAATACTAATCAAGACAAACCTTCCTTCCCTGTGCATGTCCCCCAGGAATGCTTTTCCCTGTTTACTGGCTGCTTCACACTGGTCCTCATGGAGATTCCAAATGGTCCTTTCATGGCCAGTGCGTGCTTATGTGTATGGCACTCCCTGCCAACACCTGGCCCCATCACTCACTGAGCGCCCCATGGGGTTTCACAACCTCTTCCCCACTTTTATCCCTCCCCCTCCCAAGGAGCCCCATCATACAACATGAGTGCATCCTAGAGTCCAGAGTCCAAACATTATTATAACATCACTGCTTTTAATCCATGCAGGGAGGAGGAGATAATCTCATTCCCTCCCTTGTTACTAGGTTTAAAGACTCAAACCCTGCATCCTGGGGGGGCGGGGGGGAACCATCTCCAACAAAAACAATCATGAAGAGAGGTGAGAAGGCAATGGATTCCCCTAGCAGTTGGCTGTGCTCACTGGAGAACGGCCATCAAGTCATTTCCGGGTCTTACCAACTTGCTTTAACTGGGTTCCTATTATTCCCAAGGACCCTCCCTAACAGGAGGGGCTGATGAAGGCAACACAAATAGCAGAGCTGACTACTGAATCCACAACACCAAACGGCCTGGGTTTTGGTTTCCCTTTCTTTTGGTAGCCTACACGTTCAGTCCTATAGCCATTTACTGCGAAACACATGGAAACTAAGGGCTCTTTCCTAGTAAAAATGGATGTGCAAAGTGTTTAATGATTTTATGTCCTGTATCTCAGTAATGTGTTCTGTTTCAGACATTAATTTTGTCTGCCAACTGCATCTTGGCAGGCTACCATATTTGCTGGGTTAATAGTCTGACTCCGCTTTATTTCTATCACCATAAATCATACATATATGGGTGTATGTTTGCTTTATTTATAGAAAAAAATCAGTCAAAACAGATAAACCAATACTTTGCCATTACGCTGCATCATTGCATATTGATTAAAATTGCTGGTACTAACTATAGATTGTCAACGCTCAATTAATTTTCACACAGTGACTCCAAGCAAAATCAAATAAAGGCAGTGTACCTTTAAATTTTACAAATCTTAAAAATCAAGAAGCACAGCACTCTCTCCATTTTGAATAATCAGTGGAAGCTACTAAGAGATTTTTAGAAATGTAAGTATATGAGAAATACAACTGTTAAAGCGATCAATTTATAGCAAGGAATGAGGCCCAAGACAGGATTTGGGGTTTAGAAACCATCCTTCTGCTTCGATATTAACTGTCTGTGCTTGGATGGCACTCTTCAAGGTTACAGAAAAGGGAACAAGGCAAGCAGTAGGAGATTCCTAAAAGTTAAATGTAATTTCAGCTTACCGTGTTTGATCTCCTAACTGCAAAAGAGTAATATTCACTTTTAACTCTCTAATAACCATTGGGCACCCTCCATAATTTTAGCCTCCAGTTATTCCAAGAGTGTGTTTTCTGTTTCTTTCCTCTGTTACAGTTATGCTGGACTAGCCCTCACTCCCTTCTGCATACCTGCTCGCTGTCTCTCGGCTAACCCCTGAAATGCCTTTTCCTTTTGACTCCATGGTCTGGCTGTCTTCTTTCTGTGTTCACACCATTTAGAAAGATTCCCCCACCCCACCCCATGACCAATCGTAATATATTTTCATACACTGCTATAGCACCAATCATCTGTCCTGAAGAGCTAGTTGTAAGGTCCCATGGCCACGGATCTGAATCATCCTCTATCTTCTTAAATGCCTTGCACACTGCCCTCTTCCTAAAAGGTACCCAGAAAGAGTCAACTGAACGTAAGTCCTTCAGTACTAACAAGCTGCCAGGGTAGGCTGTCCTGCCTCCTATGCTTGGGGTGGGGGAAGCAGAGAAGAGATACTGTGGGGTTTCTCCCCTTGGTGTAGAGCTCGGTACTTACGGGCTGAGGGGCGGCTTTGGGTTCCGTAGACTTCACGTGCAGATGGGTCATCATGGCTTGCAGGCGCTCTTTGTCTTTTGCAAGCTAGTGGGAAGGAAATGCTCTGTTATTTCTTTGAATACAGATGCATTACTATTTTAACATCTAAAATGATACATATTCCAAATTAAACTATAGCACCATTGCACATGACAAAATCTTTCTCATTGCTTAATCGTTTTGAAATCTACACAACCATTGCCAAACTCGAAGTAACTGGAGGTGTCAGTGTGAGATTTCTCAACATGAGATGCATTAGCTTTTAACTGGGAAGTTCTAGACCTGCTGGCACCAAGGAGTCCCATAGAACACAGACAGCTAAAAGACAAAAACGTGAATCACACCTATTAACCAGTCTTATTCACGAGCAAGCCAAAGGGAAACGAGTGAGGTGGCTAAAACTCATTAAAATTCATCTTTTGTGGCTGTGGAAGAGCTCTTAGACACACGGACACATTTATGCAGAATTAACTTCATCTTTCTTAACAGGTAGGCACAGATTAGCAGTGCCGCTGAGCAACACTGGCAGGGTGGGCACGGGGACAAGGGATGACACGTTCTCATCTCCAAAGGAATGCAGAATAAGCCTGATCTTTCATTTATTCAGTAGGTGAGTACCTACTATGTGTTAGTCTCATCTTAACAAAAACTTAAGTCTTCTCATTGTACAAAAAATTATCTTTTGAAGAAACACAAGCTTCTAATCTTATGTACATCATTGCACTCAAAATACTACTAGATGCTCCTTTCTTTGTGCTTGCCTTGAACTGTTTAAACATGATGATATTTTTGGTAATTCAAGGCAGCTGGGCACAGAGGATGCAAAATAATTGATTCTAGGTAGTTTTGCCATAAGCATCTTTGCCACATAACTAATCGGCCGTAAGACAATCTTACCATAAAAGACAGGATCATGACAAATGGAAGGGGGGTGTTCCCGAAAAAGGACAAAATGAAACATAAAAAATCAGTATCAAAATGAAACGGCTTCTCCAGAAAAAAAACATTTGAATACATTCAAAGTGTACAGTGCAGACTGGGGGAGAGACAGCATAAGTAACGGGTTTCATTTTGTGGACTGTTCGAAGCACTTCACTCATCTCCGAATTATTCACAGTATCATACGTTTCCTGGTTGCTTTCGTTAATCCCCATTCAGCACTGCACTTTTTCTTTTATCGATACAATTCCTTCCTTCATGAGGAGAGGTATCCGTTTCCAAATTCTAGAATACGTGTTTCTAACTGAGCTCTGTATGGCGCTGTAAAAGCCTTCTGCACGGTCGCTTGTTCTTGGCATACAGTCTCACGTCTGCTGAGAGACCTCTGTTCCAAAGTTCTATGGGACACGTGGGTTGGAAACTCTGGGTCACCGTATACGTCTTTATGAGGGCTAAGATTTATAGAATATAAAAATGGAAGTACTTTGTAAACGGAGAAATGAAACCAAACTGTCAAACCATCTTGTCAACCAGTTATTTATTTATTTATTTTTTAAATCTCTTAGGGCAAAACTGCCTTAGGATAATTAGTTCTGTGGTGCAATTGACTGCAGCAGAGAGGTCTATAGCAAAGATGCTTACGGCGAAAATACCAGACATGATAATAATCACCTTTGTAAGGTAAGTGGGAAGTGTATCTCTAAAAGATAAAGGCATAGTTAAGAGAAGAACCGTGGAATTTGGGGGAAATGTAGAAGAGACTAATGAATGAGTGAATAGAGAGGGAGAGAGAAAGAAAGAGAAAGGGGTGGGGGTGGTGGGGAGAGTCTTAGATCAGCACTTTTATAGATCATTGGTCCAAAATAATGCCTTTGAACTGGGGAGGGACTCATTTCTTCTATGTCACATAATTAACCTTAAATCTTTGAAATATCAAGTTTTGGGGGCACTTGGCTGGCTCAGTTGGTAAAGCGTGCGACTCTTGATCTCAGGGTTGTGAGTTTGAGCTCCATGTTGGGTGTAGAGATTGCTTAAAAACAAAATTTTTAAAAAGGGTTTTATTTATTTAATTTATTTATTTGAGAGAGAGAAAGGGAGAGAGAGCGAGCGGGGGGGGGGGGCAAGAGGGCGAGGGAGACGGAGAGAATCTCAAGCAGCCTCCAGCATGGAGCCTGATGCAGGGCTCAATCTCACAACCCTGAGATCATGACCTGAGCTGAAACCAGGAGTCAGAGGCTCAACTGACTGAGCCACCCAGGTGGCCCAAAAATAAAATCTTAAAAGAAATACCCATTTTTCATAAGCTGAATTATTTCAAAATAAAAGTCAAACAAGACATTTTAAAAGGTGTTTTCTAAGGGAAAAGGGGGTGTTTCAGCATTTGGGGGAAAAGGCAGAGGAAAGGGAAAAGGTACAAAAGCAAGAGAGAAAAAGCTTTCGGCTTATCCTGGCTGGATGACTCAGTCTCAAGCCATATCGCATTTGATTTTTTTCCTTTTTATTCCCTTGTGGTGCAGGGAGGAATAAATTAAGAAGAAAAAAAAGCCTTATAGTGTTAGCATTTATCTTTCAACAAACAGGAAATGAAAATGATACCATATTAGGAGCCACTTTACGTTATTCATCTTCTGAGCCTTAGTAAGTTATTGACTGGCCAAACTAAAAGATGCTCTGAACACATAATGCCAAAGGAATTTAGTTTTCCAAAGTGGCTCAGTTAGAACAATTAAAATGTTTGCAATGGCATTCTTCTACAGTTATTCGTATTTCTGTAGTTATTTGTTTTTTTTTTTTTTACCGTGTTTTAAGTTTTTAGGTGTTAGAACCAAAATATTCATAGAATTCTAAAAAATATTGTGTCTTAGAAGTTATCATGGGGCAGAAGGAATGAAGGCATATCTATTATTCTTTTTAAAAAACAAGTAGTCTGCCATACTGAATGTTACAAATTAAAGGGTGAGAGGTGATAGTTACTTAAGAGTCTGATGAATATTAACTGTGACTTAATTTGGGGGTAAACATTGTTGACGGAGCAATTAACCAAGACCAAGGAGAAGGAAATCCAAATTCCCAGCATCAAAAGGAATCATCACCTCTATGTTCTATCCAGATGTCTACCATGCTGACATTTTACTGGTCAGAGGTAATAACACTATGTTGCAAACACATACCTAGAGTTTGTACACACGGCCACATCCATAAACCCTGGAGGTTACTGCCATGGGAGACAATTTCTCACTTCTCTGTGAGAATATTAGCGTAGAATTCACTGTCCATTTTGAGAATTACCCAGGTTCCTTATTTCGCCTCATACTCAATTCTACCATCCTAGCTCTGCTTTATTATAAAAGATCAGCAAGGTTACAGAAAAAAGGCAAAAGTCCAAGTTTCTGTTTTTGTTTGATCAGTGCTAACTAGCATGTAATATATTCTTGGATGGGTTCTGGATTTTTACCATCAGTTACAGCTCTAACTCTAACACAAACCCTTTTAACAATTAAAGAAAAAAATCACCTGCCAAATTCACTTTTTGTTGTTTTAGGCAAAAAGGCTAATATTTCACACCTACTGAAACCACATCCTCTCTCTACTGGGGCTGTCGTGCATTTTTAATACTCACTGGCCCTTTAAAAAGCTTTCAGATTCTTTATTACTTTTTATGCCGTTATTCCATGAGCTCAGCATCCCTATCCATTTTCACGGCATCCTTTCATTATTATAATATGACAATACAAACATTTAATATTAGCAAGTGTATATTCCAGCATTCCCTCATAAACTGAATCCCATGCAAAGCAAAGCAATGGAGGATGAGACATGTACTCCAAAGGTCAACTAAAAATTTGGTTGGCAAATGAAAACAATTTTTTATGTTGTGCTAGCAGAAATTACTCTCTAAAAGCTTTCCTGGTGGGTACGGGAGGGGTTTCTGGTGTAAAAAGAAATGCCAACAGGCCCCACATTGAGGGGACATGCTCGTACAATGTTTGCTTATTAGCAGGTTCCCCAATTTTGGAGAGAGACAGCAGAGTGAAAATGGATGAAGGTCGTGGGCACTGCAATCACACTATGCTGGATTCAGATTCTGGCTCTGCGACTCTGAGCACATTATGTAACCTTTTTAAGTATTTAGTTTCTTCTTCTAAATATGGAATAATAATCTCTGAACTCTGAAGAGTTGTTTTGAGGATTAGATAAGTTCTTGCACATAACAAGCTTAGCATAGAGCCTAGTGCTTCACGGATGCTCAAAAATATCTAACTTTCTCTAAAGGAAAGTTACACCGTCTGGTCTATTTAGACCTCAAGTGGTTGAGTATATGCTTGGAACCCGGGTCCATGTGACAAGAGTTCTGTGCAGTTTGCAGTGGGCCTGGCTGGGGAGAGGATTTTGATGTTTTGAAGAATGGAACAGAAATCGTAGGAGAGATGAAGCCCACTGCTTATGGATTGATTTCCTTGGTTCTCGCCGTCTCTTGCCCTCATCCTAGGCAAATGCTTTTTCTCCCCTTGGCTGATACAGGTCATCCCCTCTTCTATTAGCCATGGCCTCAAATTAGGTTTTAGCCTGTCCGGGCTGTGAAAGGCTGGAACGCTTGTATCGCTCTGGACACACTGATAACCGCCGAAGGCAAGGAGCTCCATTCAACATCTTCAAAGATAAAAACTGAGGAGATTAAACTCATTCTTTTAGCAGAGAAAAGGGAACACGGTTTTAGGTTCATTTAACATAATCACTTTATATGTTGTCTGGAGGACTAATCATTTTAAGCCCAATTTGGCGGTTCTCACTTGTGAGAAACAGAATCTGAAATAAATGAAGGATCCCGGATGTGTAAAAACGTTTGAATTACCGAGGACGGATGAGAAGAAAGGACCAAGTGACTCATGTGATTTTACAGAGGCAAGGACTGTTGTGGCTACCTCAAATCCTCTCGTCCTACTCTTGTATTTTATAGTTGGGGAAACTGAGGCCCCAAGGGTGAATGCACCCAAGAACACGGAGCTGGGAAGGGGCAGAAGTAAGACTAGAATTCCAGTTGCAGGACGCCTGGTCAGACTTTCCCACTCTGGTGTGACTATAAGAGGCACCTGGGATGCTAACTG